GAGAAATTTTAATTTTTCCTTTTTGACCCTTTTGCTTTTAGTGGGTGTTTGGCACCCATTCTTTTGAAGAATGAGTTTTTGAATAGTGATTGATGTAAAGAATGTGTGGTTAAAAAGTAAGAAGAATTTTTGAGTTTATGTGTAATATTATTTTATTCGGAGAATGCGTAGTTAGAAATGAGTATTGCAGAAAAATGAGAATGAGAATGAGATAAAAAATGAGTGTCAAACGGGGGCTTAATGTATTTTGAATAGTGATTCTTTGACGAATGTGTGGTTAAGAAAGACGAAAAAATTTCGATTTACGTGTAAAATTATTTTATAGAAGATGTGTCATTAAAAATAAATTTTAAAAAAATGGGGACCAAACCTAGACTAATTCTATAGAACTCAAAATATTACGATTGTGACAATAAATTAAAACATTACATAAACTATTTATCATTTGCAAAAGAGAAAATTGAATTAACGTAATTTTCATATAAAAGCAAAACATGAAATACAAAATTAAAATCTATAAAATATGATTACATCTAATTTCTTCATCTAGAAGCTGACATAAAACCGTCAGGATCTTTTCGTCAATTTGGGAAACCAAAGGCCTTAACTAGCAAGAATCAGGACGCTCAATTGAAACAGGGTCGGAAAATTACAGTTAGCGTCCCAACCTATTACAAATAGAGTAATTAGGTCTAAAACTTTCAAATTGTATCAAATGGGTCCCTGACATTTTGATTTTATGGTACTTCCATTTATTTGAATGTTAAAATGTCATAAAGGGAACCAGAAAAGGACTTAAGATCATTCAAAAGCGCTCCAATTTAAGCACTCCAGATTCTTCCCTAACAGAAGAAAGATCAGTTGCATGAGGCTGTTTCTAACACTGTGCACCAGTTTAACAACTAGCACTGGCAGAAACAAAAATTTAAAAGGAGCAAACATTTTATGAAGATTTCTCCATATTCATTGAAAACAAAACTCGGGCATCGTCATGCAGCAGGAAGCTACAAATGCAAACTGCCATTACAGCTGGAGTTTTCAATAATTTGCTGTACCCCAATTATCTAATATTTCACGATGCGAAATACTAAAATTCCAAGTACACACGCGGTAAAAGATTGTGAACTCAATACAATTTACGATGTTTCACACCTTCATCAGAATGAAACGACAGATTTATAATGTGCTGTAGACTGCTGCAACTGTGATAGAGCAGTATCGGATTCGTCGGTTTCATTAAATTCAATTGGAGGTGTCCCACTGATTTGCTTCCTGCAACCAAACAAGCAAAATTTTGTTTTCAGAGAGGGAAATCACAAGAATAAAAATGACATCTGTTAAAATACTGACTTCGTAATTGTGTATTCAAAATTCTTGCATGGGATGAAGCATACAAAATCATAATTTTATGATGTAGCTTTCAGCATAACATACGTATAAAAACTGGATACTCAAATCTTGAACAAAAGACTCAGGATCTTGGAAGCAACATTACCTTTCAGCTCAATCACTTGCTTCTAGGATTAGTTTCTCTAGCGTTTTCCTAAGGTCATCTTCCTATCTTTAACTGGATGCAACAAATGACATAATTACCCTA